ATAGTCAGGAAATGAACTAAGGGTCTCAAGAGCAAACTACATCAGTATATGCAAGGCAGGAACTGATGCCAACAGTACAAGTTTCCAAATGGAGACTATATGATGTAACTATATCAAAAGGTATATAACTCAACAAGTATTGGGAATGGAAATGTCCCTTGCATACCAATGGAAAGAGGGAAACAAGGTGGTTGTGGTGATACCAAATATGAAAGGAATTGATAGAAGGAAAAGGTACATAAAGTCCAAGTTGAAGATGCTGAGAACACACACACCAATTCTAACAATTGGTGCAGGGGTGTGGACACCCTATGCTGCCCCATTAGCCCCAGTAGGGTTTCAGACATCTGACTGTGCATATGCCACACCTACCAGCATGGAGCTTTCTGAGCCTACATCCAGGGGAAGGCTTGTATGTCAAAGGGTGGGCCAAGACCCACCATTCTCAAGTCCTATTGCATAGTGTAGCACCTTAGTACATTGTGCTTAGATAGGAACCAGGCTGCGATCAGTCCCTGGTACAAATAAATTGTTGAATTGAAAAATAAAAATACAATAAAATAAAAGTCTGTACCTGGACCCGCAATATGGACTGTATGCAACTGCCAAGCGGTTTAGTCCAGTTCAGGAACTCTGACCATATTAGGAAGGTGTTGACACACCACACACTTCTAACACCTTCTTCCCTTCCATCACAGGCTCAAAGACTATAGAGCCTACCCTAGCTGTATAAATGACAATGTGGTCAGCCAGACAAACAGAAATCTAACCCTTTTAGCAACCCATCTGACCAGGTCACTCCTGGGACATGGCTACCAAAAGGATGCCATCCAAGCAGGCAGATAAAGTGCAGAGCACAATCATGAAGATTTAGAAGCATCTCCCTGAACTGAGTGAGCTGTTCAACCCCACTGCAGGGGAGAACCAACCTGGTGTCTGTCTAGTAGACCACATCACCTTTGACAAGTTTGTCCCCCCAAGGGAGGCAAGCGAGAGGAAGGGCACTCTTGAAGAGAAGGAGCGGATATTGGAAGCCAAGTTCACTATGGTAAACAAGATTCCTGATGTGTACATCATGGTAACTGATGCTATGTGTTAGAAGTGTGTGATGTGTCAGTACCTTCCTAATATGGTCAGAGTTCCTGAACTGGACAAAACCGCTCGGCAGTTGCACACAGTCCACATTGCGGGTCCAGGTACACACTCATCCTTGTCTATCTAACCAATAGTGTTGAAAGCCATGGAGCACAGCTAATGCGCAGGCAGACAGGAGGCCAATGTATACGACTTGAGAGGACATATTTACCTTGTAGTAAGAGGTAGTTAGGAGTTGCTTATAGCTTAGCAGGTGGTAGTTGAGAGGCAAGAGAGATGATTCGTATAGGGCTAAACTACAGCCCTTATATACCTATTCTACAAGCGTATTAGTAAGTAAGTTACATGCTACATGTGATGAGTAAATATATAAATAGACTTTGCTAGAATGTTCCAGCATAGTCTAGACTCAAGTATGAGTCAGTATGAGTAATAATGACACAAGTGGATGCATCATGGTTTGTAATACTTTAGTCATGTATATGACATTAGCATATTCACTTAGTCACGTATCTGACATAAGTGTAGTCGATCGTTCTAAGTTCAACAAATAGTCAACTCCATGTTCCTAAGATCATATAGCTCAGTGGTTAGAGCGTCCCTCATGTGTTGGTGGAGGTCCTAGGTTCAATCCCTGGTGTGGTTGCATTGCTCTATTTTAACACTATGGTCCCCCACAAGGTGTGGCACCAGGCCATTGCTGGCTACATGATGCATCCTTGCAGAAACATGTTCACCAAGGCCAAGTTTGCCACAGGCAGAATTACAGCCCCAGATGCCAAACTCTACACCATATATGCAGAAATCATCAGAATGCTTCAATCCTATGATTGCCATATGATTGTGATTTTCACTGATCATATTGCAGCTGCCAAGTGCACTGTAGATCCCTTAGTGCACTTAGGCCAGGGACATTCCTTGGCCATGTGCACTGCTCTATCTAGATGGTTTTATGGATGCCCAGAGCATTCCATTGAATTCATACAGGTGCTGTCCAAGCTTGAATGGCACATCCATCTCACCACACATGATTACATGCATGATACTCCCACTGTCTTGGGGCATCACCTCAAGACCTTGCTTAACATTGTCTGCCAAGCAGTTGCAAAATTTTGCATTGATTCTTGGATTTCCAAGTTTCAACCTTCATCTTATTGGGGAGTACTTTACCCTGCCCCACAGGTCCTTGCGGCAGCCGTGTGGCCCTGGCATGGAGCTGGTGCAGCCCTGGCACGGCTCTGGCATGGCAGCCACATGGCTGCTGTGCAGTCTTGACATGGCTCTGGCACGGCTCTAGTGCGGCTGCCATATGGAGGCCATGTGGAGGCCATGTGGAGGCCATGCCACAGTTGCGTGGCTAGAGTGTGGCTCTGGCACAGCTTCAGCTGCATGGCTAGGAGGAGGATGTGCTGCAATTCTCAAATGGAAGACTACCAATAACTTCAACTGGATGATTCATGTGATGCTCTACTATCACACTCAAATTGTGCAATCCAAACAGGAAAGAAACATGGAGGAAGATAATGAGAATGAACAGGAAGAAGAAGAATAAATACAATAGAATGCATGTACTGTAACTATAGTTTTTTTATCTACGATTTCAGTTTTTTCAATTTTGGAAAGGCTCTAGCATGGACTATAGCATTATACTTCTATGGATCTAGCATAGATGACATGTGAGAGCCATACAATGGCTGTCATATGAAAGCCGTATGATGGCCACACAGAACTTGTATGGCTATCATATAGCTGCTGTGGAAGGGCCGTACAATGGCCATATGGTGGCTGCACAGAGATTGCACAGCAGCCACATGGATGTGGCACGGCAGCTGCACAGACATGGCATGGAGCTTGCATGGCTCTAGCACAGCGGCCACACAGAGTTGCACGGCTCTAGCACAGTGACCGCATGCACTTGCATGGACTTGCATGGCCCTGGCATGGCCCTGACATGGCTCCAGCATGGCGGCTGCATGGACTTGTGGGCTAGTGCTAAGTGTAGTTATTGGGGCAAGCACTTCCTTCAAATGGGGGACATGCAGGACTGACCTCTCAAGCCAAGTGTTCTCAAAGGGGGCACTTGGCTGTCATTTACTGCCACCAAGTCCATAGCAACAATGGTAAGGATGGCTTGCTGCATCCTTGGGCATGCTCCATTAGGCAAATATCATGCCCAATTCAATATTGATGGAGAAATCCAATGCAGGTACAGGATCTTCATTGAGACCTGTGCTCATCTCTTTGGTGTGGCTGGTGCTGCTTCACACAGCACGGCAAAATGGACTCTCCCAAGCAACTGGGTGAGCTTCTGGATTTTCTTTGGGCAAACCCTAGAATGTTTGCCTTCAAAGCCCATTCCAAGGGTATCAGATGATTTTGTTAGTGGCCCTGAGTCGCATGACAGGGTGGGGTGGGGTTAGGCTCCAGTGAGGCCAGACAGCTTCTCTGTGGGTAGCAGTATGCTTCAGTGCTGCTGGCTGCTTGTGAGGAGGCTTGACAGAGGTGTGCAGACCAGCGGTCAGCTCCAGACCAATGGAATTGGTGTGGGGCTGTGGACACCCTGTGCTGCCCCACTACACCGTCAAACAGATGAAATGTTTGTGCCACATTTTGATCAAGATGCATTTTCCAGGCAGTGACTACATCAGTACATCATGCCAACACCTGGAGGCCAGCATTTGATTGCCCTAATACCATGCTGTTGCCAGGTCGATGTGGAGGCTACATGGCAGGCAAATGTGTCTACATATTTTTGATAATTTGAATAAACCAGCATTTGCTGTGAATTTTCATTTATATTTGTATTTCTGTGGTATTTTCTCCTCAATTTTTGCTTTGCTAGCAAGTGTATATATTTCCTGAGCAAAAATTATGTATTGGTCTAATCTATAGTACACATTACAGAGTGGTAGATATATTAATAGGCAACCTACTTGATTGTTGACTGAAAGTGGGAACTCTGAAAAACTTAGGGTGATGACTTCAGACTGTTGAAAACTAAGCACACCAAACAAGGGGAAAGCACACATACCTCTAGCATACTCCAACATGCTCTCCCACTACCTGACTGACATGGTACCCAAGTTATTCTGCAAGAAAGGCCTATGTAGAAAGTGTGTGTCAGCACCAATGCCCAGAACCAAAGGCAATGAACATACCGCTGGCAGCACATCTGGCCAAATATCTTCAATCTGCTATGTTGGCAAAAAAGAAGTGTCAGTGATAGAATAGCTTGATGGCACCAAACTTACAATGTGAACATTGAACTTGGGAAGAATGAGTGAGCACCCAGGGCAGTGCTGAGTGGGTGGAAGAATAAACAAACATTGATATGTATGCTGTTTGGCTTATGTTGAATTTCTGTTGGAGTCCAAACATTATTCATGCGCTGCAACACATAGAAGAATTTTCTCTAAGTCCTTCAAATTTCCAATCTTGTTAAGCACAGGGTATTTGGTTGGATCTCAACATCTATAAACAGGCAAAATGAAAGTAGGCATGTGAATTTGACCATAAATGTGTGATTTATACATGAATCATACTTTATATGGCACAGAGGTGAATTTTGGGCCATCATGTTTCAACTAGGTGGAACGAAAACATGGGAGCCATGTCAAAAATGATCTTACAACAGCAAATTGACCATCAGATTGTTCCCATATCATGAACAGGTTGCTGTCAGACCAACACCTCATCAGTCCTAGGTGCAGCCAAACATCACAGCAGCCTTTGGGCCATTTGGAGGTGTAGCTATTAGAAGTGTGTGATGTGTCAGCACCTTTCTAATATGGTCAGAGTTCCTGAACTGGACTAAATTGCTCAGCAGTTGCAGACAGTCCATATTGCAGGTCTAGGTACACACTCATCCTTGGCTATCTAACTAGTAGTCAACTCCAGGTCCCTAAGATTATATAGCTCCATGGTTAGAGCATCCGTTATGTGTTGGTGAGGTCCTAGGTTCAATCCCTGGTGTGATCACATTGCTCTATTTTAACAGCAGGTGCCAACCAGCATGGATCCCCCACCTGTTCCAGCTTCCTGTCTGGCCTGGCAGCCAACCAGGTGTGCATTCCAGAGCTTGAGCTCCAGCCTGGAGTTGTTTCACAGTGCTATCCAACCCTGCCCATTCACTGTTTGGCATTGCACAGCTACTTCACCTTGCCGTTGGCTTGTACCTTCCCATTATGGGTGTGGCATCAGTGGTTTCACCTCCCCTATCAAACATAAGGGTAAGCTTCAGCCTCCCATGGGTGGAACACATGGCTCAATGAGGCAGCCAAGCATGCCAGGGTCATGGAGACCTGTTGCCATTGGGCACATACCAACTACTACTGCCAACTAACAACCACTACTGAGGGAGTGATTTTTTGCCTAATTCCTGGTTTGTGGAGTACTTTACCCTCCCCCACAGGTCTGTGTGGCCCTGGTATGGCTGTGTGGCCCTGGTATGGAGCTGGTGTGGCCTTGACACAGCTCTGGCATGGTGGCCACACAGCTGCCATGTGGACTTGACATGGCTCTGGCACAGCTCTAGTGCAGCTGCCATGTGAAGGCTGTGCCAGAGCCATGTCTACACTTAGCACTGGCCCACAAGTCTGTGTGGCCGCCGTGCTGGAGCTGTGTCAGGGCCATGCAACTCCATGCGGCCGCTGCGCTAGAGCTGTGCAAGCTCCATGCCACGTCCATGCGGCTGCTGTGCAATCTCCATGCGGCCATTGTACAGCCCTTCCACAGCAACTGTATGATAGCCATACAAGTTCTGTGTGGCCATTATACAGCTTTCATATGGTAGCCATTGTATGGCTCTCACATGTCATCTATGCTAGACCCATAGAAGTATAATGCTATAGTCCATGCTAGAGCCTTTGAGTACATTACACTCACCCACCACTCTCCGTAGAGTCTTCGGAGACTTTGTGAAGAGTCTTTGAGGATTATGTGGAGACTTTACAGAGACTTTGTGAAGAGTCTTCGAGGATTATACAGAGACTCTTCGGAGGCTTTGCGAAGAGTCTTCAGAGACTTTTTGAAGACTCTCTGAAGACTCTCCGCAAAGTCTCCGAAGAGTCTTCAAAGACACTGCAGAGAGTCTTTGAAAAGTCTCTGAGGAGTCTTCGAAAAGTCTCTGAGGAGTCTCCAAAGAGTCTCCAAAGAGTCTCTGAAGACTCTTCAGAGACTTTGCAAAGAGTCTTCAAAGAGTCTTCAAAGAGTCTTCAGAGACTCTTCAGAGACTCTTCAAGTAATATGTATACATACAGTACTTTTAGTTTATGTAGAGATTGTTTAGTTGAAACACAAAAAAAAAATGTAAGCCTGGAATCAAAGCAGGGCAATATGGTATGGATGGATATTTATTTGTGAATTTGTTGGGGGTTTTTTTGTGAAATTTTTTGGGCAAAAAACTAAGAGAAATAAAGCAGCCTGGGCTGGGATTGAACCCTCAAACCCTGGAAAATAAACTGGCCTGACCTGGGATTGAACCCTTGCACAGGGCAAAAAAATTTAAAAAAATTAAACCCCGTGGGAACAGCCACCCATCAACTGTACAGTTGATGGGTGGGCTTCATGTCACAGCACCACCCTTCTCTTTCTCTCTTCCCACTTCCTGCTCCCACCTTGGTTGAGCTACCCTCCCTGCCTACTGCCCACTGCCTGCCCATCATGCCTGCCTGTTCATCACTGCCCATCGCCACCGCCCGCCCATCGCCGCCACCCTTCGCCACCACCCTTCGCCACCACCCGCCCATCACCACCGCCCATCGCATCCGCTGCCCACCGCCACTGCCCACCCATCGCGTCCGCTGCCCTTCGCGACTGCCCATCACGTCCACCGCCCACCGCCACTGCCCGCCCTTCGTGTCCGCCACCCACCACCACCGCCCGCCCATCACATTCACCGTCCACCGCCCATTGCGTCCACCGCCCACTGCTCACCTGCCACTGCCCATCTGCCACCCATCGCCACCACCTGCCCATCGCTACCGCCTGCCCATCGCTACCGCCCGCCCACCACCCGTTTGCGCCTACCCACTGGGCCGCCCTTCCCGCCTTAGCGCCCAGCGCCCTTTGTGGTTTAGTGCCCACACCCTTTCTGCGTTGCCCACCTGCTGGGCCGCCCTTCCTGCGTTAGCGCCCAGTGCCCTTGCTGCGTTATCCCCCACTGCGGTTTGCGCCTATGCCGTTGCCGTGTTAGCGCCCGCGCCTGTGTCCTTGCGCATTAACGCCTGCTGCCCTTTGCAGTTTGTGCCTACACCGTTACTGCCTGCACCTGTGTCCTTGCCCTGCCGCCCACTGTCCTTTGCGGTTCGTGCCTACGCCATTGCCACGTTAGCGCCTGCCCTGTTGCTGCGCCCCTTGCTGCTTGCCTTGCTGCGTTAGTGCCTGCCCCTTTGCCTTTGCTGGTGTTAGCGCCTGTGCCCCCTGCCGCGTTTGTGCCTGCCCCCTTGCTGCGTTAGTCCCCTTGCCCTTACTGCGTCCCCTGTTGTGCATCAGTGTTCGTGCCCTTTTTTTGTCTGTGCTGACCCCTTTGCGTGTCCACTGTCTGTGTCCTTTGCTTGTATACTACATTTGTAGTCAACAAAATGTTAGTAGTTTATCAATAATATATTTTCTTTAATTGATGTTTATTTTTTGAGAAGTTTAATGGCAGAACGCAAGACTACTTGGAGTATTTCTAGAGCTGCTGCTCAGGATGCCCCTTCAAGTCTTCAATCTAATCTCAAGCGTAAGAAGCCCCAAGGTCAAAGGTCTGTACTATTTTGCTTATTATGCCATGTTGTC